TAAATAAATAAATAAATAAATAAATAAATTCTTTTGCATACTGCTTAGGGAGCAGACTGTCTGGGCTCGGTTAAAGTTCCTTGTTACAAGCAATATAAACATTTGCAAATATCCTTTTCCTCCACATATATACACATTCACTAGCGAGAATGTTGATTCACAGGACTGGAATTTATGTAACAGGATGTGCATTAAGGAAGCTAAACCACTGCACAAGGAGGGAAAGTGCTTGTTTTTCCAGTAGATAATTATAGCCCTTTACTAATTCTAGAAACAAGACTCAATATTCTTATTGTCATATATGAAAGGCTAAAGCATATAAGGAATGGCTGCTGGAATTGGGTATGTCTAGTTTAATGAAGAGAAGGACGAGGGGGGACATGATAGCAGTCTTCCAGTATCTCAGGGGCTGCCCCAAAGAAGAAGGAGTCAAGCTATTCTCCAAAGCGCCTGAAGGCAGGACAAGAAGCAACGGATGGAAACTAACCAAGACGAGAAGCAACCGAGAACTAAGGAGAAACTTCCTGATAGTTAGAACAATCAACCAGTGGAACAACCTGCCTCCAGAAGTGGTGAGTGCTCCAACACTGGAAGTTTTTAAGAAGAGACTGGCCAGCCATTTGTCCGAAATGGTATAGGGTTACCTGCCTGAGCAGGGGTTTGGACTATATGACCTCCAAGGTCCCTTCCAACATCATCATCATCATCATCATCATCATCATCATCATCATCATCATCATCATCATCATCATCATCATTATTATTATTATTAACAGAGGTGGAAGGAATCTTGGAAGTCTTCTAATCCAACCCCCTACTCAAGCAGGAGACCCTACATCATTTCAAACTTGTCCAATCTCTTCTTGAAAACCTCCAGTGTTGCATCATCCACAACTTCTGGAGGCAAGCCGTTCCACCGATTAATTGTTCTCACTGTCAGGAAGTTTCTCCTTAGTTCTAGGTTAATCCTCTCCTTGATTAGTTTCCATCCATTGCTTCTTGTCCTGCCATCAGGCGCTTTGGAGAATAGCTTGACTCCTTCTTTGTGGCAACCCTTGAGATATTGGATCACTGCTATCGTGTCACCCCTAGTCCTTCTCTTCCTTAAACTAGACATACTCAATTTCAGCAGTCATTCTTTATACGTTTTAGCCTCCAGTCTCCTGATCATCTTTTTAATAATAGCCATGAAACATTGAGTGGCAAGAATGTACAAAATGGAAACAACGTTAGCGTATTGCAGGATTAGAAAAAAAAATTAAGAAAAGGTAAGGATAAAGGATAAGGAGACGGAATTTCCATCCCATGCAGGAATCCAAAAGGGAATAAAATTGAGTTTAAAAGAGTGATGGTATTCGCTGCATACCACCTTAGGGGTGCAGCAAGCAAATTGTGAGAATTTATAGAAAAAGCAGAAGAAAGTAGATGGGGAAAAATTGCCCAAAGTCACTTTTCCTGAGATGGGTGGCCGTATAAAATTGGATAAATAAATAAGTAAATAACAACAATCCAAATTAAGGGTTAGTATCTTGTGTGAAAACTCAGTCGCAGAGGCTTCTCTCCTCTTTGAGATTTCCTTAGTATAATTTGATTCTAACATAGCATATTTAATTTTTTCAGTTATAAATAAGAACAACTTTGCCAGAGAAAATTAAATAATTTGTTATTGTCAGAAAGGAAAGCTTGTGTACTTTATGAACGGAGATTATTCAGACTTAATAATACTCCAGACAATAATCAACTAAGTATGTGGGGAACTAATAAAGCAAAGTGGGAATTCATAGATTTCTTCATGTCTGAATGAAAGAGGGAACAGGCAGAGAGAGAAAAATATATTAATGATAATAAAACACTGACAGGGGTACATAAACTCATAGGAACAAAATAAAAAATTTAAGAAGCTTCTAAAACATAATAGGAAATTTATATACGTCTTGTAAGTCAACTTTTGAGAGAGAGAAAGAGAGAGAGTTAATCTTTATAGTCAGTTCTTATTTTAATGACATAGGATGATGGAGAAGGAATTGCCAATGCATAGAGCAATAATATCATACGAGAGAGCTGAGGCTATAAAAGTTGGCAGGAGGTCTCAAATCAAGGCTTCCAGCTGTTGAGTCTTGTGCTACTGATATCTTGATGACTCTGATCAAAGCACGGATGCTGTGAGAGGGCACCATCTAGATGAACACATTTATTTGGAGGAAAAACAGTGTCTGGAAAGTTCCAATCAATGACTTACACAAATTTGCAAATGTTTCTGCAAAAGCAGAAATTTTCCCAAGCGAGCTGAAAAAAAAGTGTCTGTCTGTCTGTCTAACATCTGTCTGTCTGTCTGTCTGTCTGTCTGTCTGTCTATCTCTATCTCTGTCTATCTCTATCTCTGTCTATCTGTCTATCTATCTCTATCTCACTATCTCTCTCTCTCTCTCTATCTGTATCTCTATCTATCTATCTCTATCTATCTTTATCTCTCTATCTCTATCTCTATCTCTCTATCTCTATTCATCTATCCATCTATCTATCTATCTATCTATCTATCCATCCATCCATCCATCCATCTCTCTATCTCTCTATCTCTATCTATCCATCTATCCACCCATCCATCTACCTACCTACCTACCTACCTTTTAAATCAATTTTACAAGGTTTCTATGTTCCTCCAGTCATGTCTGACTCCATTCAGTTTAAAAACCTCCAAAACAACAGCAAGCTTGACATGAAACTCCCCAATATAACAGTGCTAACAGAATAACTATTATCATTTTACAAGTGCTAAGGAAGAACCATAGCTTATTTTACTTGTATGTTTGTTTATATCCCACCTTTATTGTTTTTTTTACAAATAAGGTAGAAAACATGCCAAACGAAGATATCCTGGATTTCAGAAGAAGACATTATCTTCCAACATATATTTGCAACCTCATCATTCATCGATCAATCTAGAAACAAATTCCCACAATTAACTACCTTTTAGAAGCAAGGATGGTCCCAACGATTAGCACGATAACAGCAAGCATGACGAGGGCGCCAGTCACTGTAAGAAGCAGGCTTTTATCTGGGTCTTTGAATGCATAGAAGAACAGATAGAGTTCAATAGTTTGCTGTTTTTCTAATCCAGTTTGGATTTTAATACTGAGCCAGTTTCATTCCCTCTTAGCCCAACCCACCTCACAGGGCTTTTGTTGTGGAGAAAATAGGAGAAGGAAGGAACATTAGATATGTCTTCCACTTTGAGCTGTTTATAAAAATAACAATAAAGGCAGGATATAAATACATAAAAATAAATTTAAAAGCAAATAATCCTGCTCCAACATTCTCAAAAATTCCATCCAGCTCTTTGCTATAAGTGTAAGTGCTAGGACTACGCTTGTAATTCCAGATTTTTCATCCCTCTGAGTAAATTCAAGATGGCCTCGCATACCATACCTATCACGGAGAGTTCGAGGAACGCTTCAGCAGAGCCTTCAGCATTGGCTGCCCGGCATATGTACTTCCCAGCATCCTTTGCCTTAAGATCAGAAAGCTTCAAGTCATTCAAGGCTTGGGATGGACTCTCCAAGACTTGGGTTCCCTTAACCCAAGTCACATTGGGCGAAGGGTTGCCCTTTGCCTTGCAGAATAGCTGGATGCGATCCCCTTTTTGTACCGTGAGCTGAGAAATGTTTGTGAAGTTTTCCAGACCTGCAAGATTCAAGAGGGACACTGAGAAGACAATGCCCAGAAATCTCAACATTTGCTTGGATGATTTTACCAATATGCATCGATGTCAACAATAAGTTAAAAATGTCTTAGTTGGCAATTTGGAGAAGAAACTGATGTCATCTCATGAGATTTGTTCATGACTGCTTCCTAAATATGAGGCCTGAATTAGTAAATACATAATTAGATTAGGAAAAGTATGATTTTGGGCCAGTCCCTCTCTCTCGTTGTGGGGAAAATTGCAGGAGGAAGGAGTATTATGTATGTTCACCACCATGAGTTATTTTTGAAAATAATAAAGGTGATAGATAGATAGATAGATAGATAGATAGATAGATAGATAGATAGATAGATAGATAGATAGATAGATAGATAGATAGATAGATAGATAGATAGATAGATGGATGGATGGATGGATGGATGGATGGATGGATGGATGGATGGATGGATGGATGGATGGATGGACGGACGGACGGACGGACGGACGGATGAATGGATAGATAGATAATAGATGAGATAGATGATAGATAGATAGATAGATAGATAGATAGATAGATAGATAGATAGATAGATAGATAGATCGATAGAGTGCTTTTTTTCTTAAAAAAAAAGGTGCTGGAACTCACACACTTCATACAACCCGCTTTGCCTACCCTACAAGTTTCTATCCAAAAAAGGTGCCGGAACTCCATTCTGGGCGTTCTATGAGAAAAAAAGCCCTGGATAGATAGATAGATAGATAGACAGACAGACAGACAGACAGACAGACAGACAGACAGACAGACAGACAGACAGACAGACAGACAGACAGACAGACAGACAGACAGACAGACAGACAGACAATCTAGGCAAAAACATTTCAGTTATTTGAAATGGACAGCAGTTTGAATTCCTTCTTATTTCCAGGGCAATTCTGAACAATATTGGTATATAAGTAGTCCTTACCACACAATTGGGACCAGAATATCCATTGTTAAGCTACATGGTTTTTAAGTGAGTCATACCTGATTTTACCACAAATCACTACAGTTATTAAGTCAATCATGCTGCCATTACAAATGGCAATCCCTTGACCCTGGGGCACGGTAATCATCATAAATAAATGCCAGTTGGTCCGCAAAGATCTTCTCTTTTTGTTCCATTTCCCACTAGCCTTTTCTGCCTCTTTTTGATACCTCCTTCCTGAGCAAAAGGCCGGTGGGAGAATCATGCAACTTACTGTTACTGGAGTTAAAATGTTCCCCCTTGATCACTACCATCTGCGGTGGGACTGTAAGAGAAAAACAAATCCTCCTGTTCAGAAATCCTTTCCAATTGAGATTTGGACACAGTCAGATCCCCAATTACATATGTCGATTTCCTGGAGCTTGTATCCCAACCTCTTTTCTTCAACACTCTCCCTTTTTGATTATAAGATGCAAAGAACTGGCCGCCATTTTGATATTATAATGTCCACATCCGTGTTTCTCAGCCTTAGCAATTTTAAGATGTGATGGCATGCTGACTGGGGAATTCTGGGGGTTGAAGTCCACACGTCTTAAAGTTGCGAAGGCTGGGGAACCTTGCTCTAGGACAGGGATAGGCAACCTTGGCTCTTTTATGACTTGTGGACTTCAACTCCCAGAATTCCTGAGCCAGCATGGCTCAGCTTGGAAACCTCTCCTTTCCCCTCAGCGTAGCTGGCTCAGGAATTCTGGGAGTTGAAGTCCACAAGCCATGAAGGGGCCATAGTTCCCCCATGCTGGCTCAGGAATTCTGGGAGTTGAAGCCCACGAGTCATAAAGCAGCCTAGGCCTAGGGCGGGGGTAAGGCAACCTTGGCTCTTTTATGACTCGTGGACTTCAACTCCCAGAATTTATTTATTTATTTATTATTTAGATTTATATCCCGCCCTTCTCCTCGTAGGACTCAGGGCGGCTGACAATCAATTAAAATACATAGATAACAATACAAGTTTAAAATTAATTAAAAGAAATATTAAAGATTGTCCAATTTAAAATATTGATTAAAACCCCTCTAAAAATTACCCTAGGCCAGTCCTGCAAGCTGGAA